CCTAAATAGATTTCTAACCACTTCTATAGTTAAATAAACTCAAAATACTTCATCTTAGTTTTTCCAACTTTTTGCAACGTTCCTATTCATTTCCAAGCAACTCTAACAGCTGAAATATTTTCTCATTTCCTTTTTAATCCTACTTCTAAATTACAAACAAGTCCTATCAATCCGACCACAGCAACTACATAATACTCTACTGAATACAAAATTGAGTAAATTTGTTTTCCAAGCATTTTAACGAACCTAAAACAAAATCACAAATAAATACCTGGCTCCCTTAACCAATTTATAATGTCTTGAAAATAAACTCAACTTGGAAGAAAAACATTCAGAAACATCTTCTCACAATTACATTTAAAGCTCTAAAACTACAACAAAAATCTAAGAATTCCTGGATCTCCTAACAATACAATGTCTTGAAAATAGAGATGTTAATAATTGGACAGCATACCAATTTTGTAAATAAATTTTAAAAACTCTCTCACAATTAGCTTTAAAGCTCTGGAACTACAGCTTTCTTCTGGTCAAAGGCTTTGCTTAAAATAAGGACCTGAGCTCATTTAAGGAAGACTTGGAAAAATAAGATTTTGGCCTCCACTTTATCTCACAATTATATAGTTCTACCCTAAACCTGCTGTTGGAGAAAAAGAAAATCCTTGGAAACAACCACCCTTTATCTGGTTCAAAGATCCAGAGGCCCAAGTAAACAAAAGACTCCGTAACAAAATAATTTATGAGGAAAATCTCTAATGTTTTACACCCAAGGAACAAAATATCACTCCCTAAAAAATACAGTGGAAAATAGTATTTATACCAAGTATGAGATACCACCCGTAAGGGCACAGCGACCAATCAGCATGTTCCACGCTACACGAGAATAGCCAATCAAAACGCAGGATACCAACTGAGAAAACCTTCTAGTATCTTCTTACCATATAAGGGAAACTTTCTAGCATCTTCTGCGGCTGGCCCGGTGCAGAAGGCTTAATTGCAGCCTCCTTTATTTGTGGCATTCTTGGAGGGGTGTTGGGCCAATGAGAGATTTCTCCAGGACAGCCAGTTAGACAAATGCAACATTTTAGTGTATTAACTAAGTGCTTGCTGCTACTCCTATGAAGCACTTGATAATAGCAACTATTACACATTTGAACTTTTGTAGTTTGCTTTATTACTGCAAAATAGCAGCCAGCAAAAAGCACACTATATGAAAGCGATAAAAAGATAGTGAAGCCACCAAAGAAGGACAAGCACCCATAAATTAGCCCAAGTCAGAAATAATGAGGACCTTCCCGCTTCCATAGAAGCAAATAAACTATGGGTGCACTTACAATATTTTGTGCAGCTCTGCTTTAACTGAGAAAGGGCATTATTGAGCTGGAAATGTGCAGGGGGCAATGAAAATGATCCCTTTGAGGAGCAGGTACCACAGCGGGGACTTTTCAGCTTAGGAAAAAGGCTAGGAAGGGGAGACATGGCCGGTATTTGGGAAAAAAATGCATGGTGTGCGTTGTTTCTAGAAGTTCCCCACCCCACCATGAAGTAGGACCACGAACTGTATGTAAATTAGGAAGAGAAAGAGGCTTTAAAAGCCTGCCAAAAGCACTAAAATGACTCCGTATCGTGCCCTGACTGAGCGCAACAAGACGTGGTTTAAGAAGTGCTCCTGCAGGGAAGCAAGTCAGGCTTCGTGCTTAGTTTAAGCCAGCTCCCAGACATGGACAAGCCCGCCTCTTCCCTCTCTTCCAATGGTAACCTGCAAATCTCTGGATCTGCCAAAAAAGCCGGCGCCTTTGCAAAGGTCTGAGCTTCCCTTCTGGGTGTTCAGTTTCCCGCTGCAGCCTCTGCCAAGTCTTGATGGCTTTTGCTTGGAGCAGGCGCGATTTGCTTGCAGGGCAGTTTGGTGCACGCTGAAGAAACGACATTCAGACGTGCACGCAAACCTCGAAGCCCTGCTCACCCTCCGGAGCCCTTAGCGTAATTCCTTCTGGATTATTGGAAGCGGCAAAGACTTGCTCACGATGGCCAGGTTGTAGCGGCTTTTCTTTCAGGGCTGTTAGCTTTTTTGCCTGCCCGGGTAGATTGGATTTTTCCCCTCTTTGCGCTGCTGCGTGTGCTCCGATTCGCAGCAGGAGCCTGGTTGCATGTAAGCGAAAACAACGTTGGCTTTGCAAAGAGGATAAACTCCCATCTCTGTTGGAGAAGAGGCCTGTTCATTGCTAGGAAGCAATTCCTGCTCTGATATCGGGCAAGGGGGGGAAATATCTAGAACGGGTCGGCAACCTTAAGCACTCAAAGAGTTATTTGGACCCGTTTCCCACAGAAAACAAAACACCGGGAGCCACAAAACCCTTTTGACCTCTAAAATGAAGATAACACTGCATATATCGTTTACCTTTATGATATGTGTAAAAAAAAAACTATAGTATGTTGCATTTATGAAATCAATGAACTGCTACAGAGAAAAAAAATATTTCTGTATGCAACAAAAACATTTTGAACTCCTAAAAAAACAAGTAGATCTGTATCTTCATTAAGATTTAGCTGCAGCTCTTGTTCAGTCACTAAAAACTGTTATTTTTGATCTTACATTATAAACTAGTAGGATTCCTTTCATATATTTTGAATAGGAGAACAGCTTTCTGCAGAGTCAAAGTCAGTGCCTAAAGGGCTGCACGCATTAAACAGCAAACCCCGTAAGTTTGTCAGCGGTAAAAGCAAGTGAATCTACCCACGTACCATCAAACGTTCGGTTTTCTTCAGAAACTTTTCTTCAATTTATCCATGGTTGGCCTACGGGGTGAGGGGTGGAGGGGAAGCTCAGCAGGTCCCAGATGGGAGATACAGGTGTGTTTAGTGACTGATTAGCAGATAAACAGTCAAGTGCTGTGAATTGTGACAGGTCCCAAGCTTTTATCATTCAGAGGAAGGAGGTTACATTTGGAGAAAGAGATTGTTTTCAGCAGGGGTTGAGTAACAGGAGAGCCTGCAGGAAGCTTGTTCCACTCTTTCCCTGCACAATAGAGGAATGCAGCAATTTACTTAACCAGCCTAGGCGGCTGTGCTGGCCCGAATTTTGAGCAGCAGAGGGATTCAAGAACCACGTGCAGCTCTGGAGCCACTGGTTGCCGATCCTGATCTAAAGTAAGCAGGTCTAACTCTACTAAGCTTTTTTTTTAAGATCTTTGTTTCTGTAGGTTTTTCCCCTCCTCTGGTTTGCAGAAAAAAAATCAGATTGCATGAAGTGGCGCGCACACAGCATTTTTGTACTCTCTAAGAATCTGATTGCAAGCAAATGGTCATAAGTGGGTGACCTGCATTTCACAGAGATGCTAAAGCCATGCAGCATCATAGGATGTACCTCCCTGAAAAGGAAATCCCTGCAGCTAGAAAGCTAGCAGATCAGGGAGAAGTCTTTTGACATCTAGATTTCTGTGTGACAAGAACGTTTCTGCATGAGGAAGCATGGAAGGAAGCGTCGTTTCACTTGAGAGAATGACATGGGCAAGAAGAGCTGAACACCTCGTTCTTCAGTGCCAGTGGCTGAGGCTGCTGGAAAAATCTATTTTCAAGGTTTAAAAGAAAATGTAGTAATAAATTTTAATGATTATATACTATGCATTTTTCTAGTTTGTTGCTGCTATGGACTGTCACATCTTCTCTGAGTTAAGGACACATGACTGTGGGACATATCTAGCTGGCTGACATTAACCCCAGACGGGCTGTTCACATCCCCAAGTATCGTCAAGGTAAATGGGAGCATTCCACGTGGCCAGAGAGTGAGCAACCTCCTGCCAGAGCGCCCAGCCCAACTCCCAGGTGAGGGTGGGAACCAACTGCATTCAAATGTACCAATCAGCACTGGTGGTGGGAATTTCAATCTTCTGGGCATCTGTCATCACGACCAGGTCAGCAGAGGTATAAAAGGGGACTCCATCATGTGCTCCCGTTTGATTGCCATTTTGCTGTGATCAAACTTATTCTAAAGTATAAAACATAGTTTTGCTCCTCCCGGGTTTGATGTGCTTAATTGGGTGGAGTGTACCAAGTCCTGACAGCTCATGTCCTTAACTCAAAATTCCTTGGCAGCCTTGTGCAGCTCTTGTTAAGCTCAAGGCCATTACGTTCTTTATGCAGTTGGTCCATGTTAAAATTTATGGTCTACGTTGCCAGAGCTGACCTTGTTCCAGTTTCAGCTCCCTTCCTAGGGCCTCAAGAAGTTTAATCACAGACCTGGTTTGCACAAGGCACAGCTGAGAATGGGTTGAATCATGGGGTTTCCTTGAATTGTCAGCTGTTGTTGCATGCAAACACTCCACTGTGGTTTAACTTTGGGTTGTGTACCCCAGGCACTCCAGAGTTCACAACACATGAACAAACCATGGATTCTCTGTGAGTAACCACCTGTATTTAAACCCTGATGCAGGGTTGGCACATAGCTTGGGTTGAGCTTAGGTGCAAACCAAGACCAAATGGGAAATAGATGCTCCCTTGTTAGATGCTGAGAACTACTGCAAAAGTTTTTTTTAAAAGGCACTGTAATGCTGTAAGTTCCAAAGTGAATCTTGAACTCTACATTTTGAATTTCAAAATATGAAATCACAGAGTCTTGTAGTATCTTAAAGAAGGACAAGTCTATTATAGTATGCATTCTGAAAGGGCAGAACTTGGATTCTAAGAGAGTCCAACCTGGAACTCTTGGTGGGCTAAAAATTGAGAATATAGCAGGGGTTTTCAAAACGTTTCCACACTTTTTTAACTCTATTAAATAAAATTTCAAAAAATTTCATCACATTTCTACATAGTCACCTTCCTTTTCAATGCATTTTTCCCAAACTTTTTAATGCCATCAGCAAAACGTATATAAAATATATTTATAAAATAGAAAGTGCAGAAACTTTTTGAAAACCCGTCGTATTATGAAACTAGGATGTATGCTCTGCAAAGAGGAGATGGGAGCATTCCATGCAAAATTCCTGTAAAATCTTATTTTATTACATAACAGAAAGATCACTGGCCAGTTTTCAGGAAGCCAGTAGAATATTGCCATGACATATAATTGCAAAAAACAGTCCCCTTGCTGTTATAACTGATTTTTCTGTTCATCTTCCTTTGGGTGTAAAGATAAATCATTTTCCAGGGGAAATGTAGAAGGCGGATCCCCTTCTGGATTTTGCTTTTTCTTCTTTCTTGTAACTCTTTTGACCTGTAGGTACTCTTCTATGGGTTTTTCTTCTGGCTCTTCCAGTAATGCGGTCAGTAGATTAAACAGCAGGGCTATCCAAGCGAGTCCGAAGATAATCCAAATTGCTACCAAAATCCTGTACCCTGGAAAATAGTTCTTATCATGTTGTCTTCCTGAGCGCACAGGGGAAAGAAACATAATATCTGTTAGGAGCGAACTCTTAAAAATGTGCAGTTTCTATGAGGAACTTGTCTGTGCGTTGGAACCTCCTACCTTTGCGTTGTTTTTGACTTTGCCATTTCTTGGCAAAACTTGCGGTTACATTCAAACTGATTAAATTATGCCATTTATTATTATAAGCCATTATTACACTTTGTTGTTGTTCTTAGTCGCGAAGTCGTGTCCAACCCATCGCAACCCCATGGACAACATTCCTCCAGGCCTTCCTGTCCTCCACCATCCCTCAGAGTCCACTTAAGCTCACACCCACAGCCCCAGTGACTCCATCCAGCCACCTCATCCTCTGCCGTTTCCTTCTTCTTTTGTTATCTATTGTTCCCAGCATTAGGCTCTGCTCTAGGGAGTCCTTCCTTCTGATTAGGTGGCCAGAGTATTTGAGTTTCATCTTCAGGATCTGGTCTTCTAAAGAGCAGTCAGGGCTGATCTACTCTAGGACTGACTGGTTTGATCACCTTGCAGTCCAAGGGACTCACAGGAGTCTCCTCCAGCACCACAATTCAAAGGCCTCAATCCTTTTGCGCTCAGCCTTCCTTATGGTCCAGCTTTCACAGCCATACATTGCAACTGGGAAAACCATAGCCTTGACTATACACACTTTTGTTGGCAGGGTGATGTATCTGCTTTTTAGTATGCTGTCTAAATTTGCCATAGCTTTCCTCCCAAGGAGCAAGTGTCTTTTAATTTCTTGGCTGCAGACCCTGTCTGTGGTGATCTTGGAGCCCAGGAAAATAAAATCTGTCACTACCTCCATTTCTTCCCCATCTATTTGCCAGGAAGTGAGAGGACTGGATGCCATGATCTTAGTTTTCTTAATGTTGAGTTTCAAGCCAACTTTTGCGCTCTCCTCCTTCACCTGCATCAAGAGGCTCTTTAGTTCCTCTTCACTTGCCATGAGAGTGGTATCATCTGCATATCTGAGGTTGTTGATATTTCTCCCAGCAATCTTAATTCCAACTGGTGATTCATCTAGGCCCGCCTTTCTCATGATGTGCTCTGCATATAAGTGAAATAGGCAGGGTGTCAGTATACAGCCTTGCCGAACTCCTTTCTTAATTTTGAACCAATCAGTGGTTCCGTGTCCAGTTCTCACTGTTGCTTCTTGACCCGCATATAGGTTTCTCAAGAGACAAATGAGATGGTCTGGTACTCCCATCTCTTTAAGAACTTGCCACAATTTGTTGTGATCCACACAATCAAAGGCTTCAGCATACTCAATGAAGCAGAAGTAGATGTTTTTCTGGAACTCCCTAGCTTTCTCCATGATCCAGCGTATGTTGGCAATTTGATCTCTAGTTCCTCTCACTCTTCGAAATCCTGCCTGTACTTCTGGTAGTTCTCAGTTCACATACTGCTGGAGCCTAGCTTGTAGGATTTTGAGCATCACTTTGCTAGCATGTGAAATGAGTGCAACGGTGCGGTAGTTTGAACACTCTTTGGCATTGCCCTTCTTTGGGATGGGAATGTAAACTGACCTTTTCCAATCCTGTGGCCACTGTTGAGTTTTCCAAATTTGCTGGCATACTGAGTGTAGTACTTTAACTGCATCGTCTTTTAGGATATTGAATAGCTCAGCTGGAATACTGTTGCCTCCACTAGCTTTGTTGTTGCTCAGACTTCCTAAGGCCCATTTGACTTCACATTACGGGATGTCTGGCTTGAGGTCAGTGACCACCCCATCGTGGTTATCAGGGACGTTAAGCTCTTTCTTGTATAGTTCTTCTGTGTAATCTTGCCACCTCTTCTTAATCTCTTCTGCCTCTGTTCTGTCCCTGCCATTTTGGTTCTTTATCATGCCCATCTTTGCATGAAATGTTCCCTTCATATCTCCAATTTTCTTGAAGAGATCTCTGGTCCTCCCTAGTCTATTGTTTTCTTCTATTTCTTTGCACTGTTCATTTAAGAAGGCATTCTTATCTCTTCTAGCTATTCTCTGGAATTCTGCATTCAATTGTTTGTATCTTTCTCTTTCTCCCTTGCCTTTTGCTTCCTTTCTTTCCTCAGCTATTTGTAAAGCTTCCTCAGACAGCATTTTGCTTTCTTGCATTTCTTTTTCTCTGGGATGGTTTTAGTTGCTGCCTCTTGTACAATGTTGTGAACCTCCATCCATAGTTCTTCAGGCACTCTGTCTATCAGATCTAATTCCTTAAATCTATTTGTCGCCTCTACTGTATATTCATCAGGGATATGATTTAGGTCATACCTGAGTGGTCTAGTGCTTTTCCCTACTTTCTTCAACTTAAGCCTAAATTTTGCAACCAGAAGCTCATGATCTGAGCCACAGTCAGCTCCTGGTCTAGTTTTTACTGACTGTATAGAGCTTCTCCATCTTTGGCTGCAGAGCACATAGTCAATCTGATTTCTGCGTTGACCGTCTGGTGATGTCCATGTGTAGAGTCGTCTCTTGGGTTGTTGGAAAAGAGTGTTTGCTATGACCATCGTATTCTCTTGACAAAATTCTACCAGCCTGTGCCCTGCTTCATTTTGTACTCCAAGGCCAAACTTGCCTGTTATTCCGGTTATCTTTTGGCTTCCTACTTCAGCATTCCAGTCCCCCATGATGATAAGGACATCATTTTTGGGTGTTAATTCTAGAAGGTGTTGTAGGCCTTCATAGAACCGGTCAACTTCAGCCTCTTCAGCACCAGTGGTTGGGGCGTAGACTTGGACTATTGTGATGTTGAATGGTTTTCCTTGGATTCAAACTGAGATCATTCTGTCATTTTGGAGATTGTATCCCAGTACTGCTTTTCCTACTCTTTTATTGACTATGAAGGCTACTCCATTTCTTCTGAGGGATTCTTGCCCGCAGTAGAATACCTGATGGTCATCTGAATTAAATGCACCCATTCCTGTCCATTTTAGTTCACTGATTCCTAAGATGTCGATGTTCAGTCTTGTCATCTCTTGTTTGACCACATCCAGCTTGCCTTGATTCATGGATCTTACATTCCAGGTTCCTATGGAGTATAGATCTTTGCAGCATCGAACTTTCCTTTCATCACCAGATACATAAGCAACTGAGTGTCCTTTCGGCTTTGACCCAGTCGCTTCATTCTTTCTGGTGCTACTAGTACTAGCCCTCTGCTCTTCTCCAGTAGCATATTGGACACCTTCCGACCTGAGGGGCTCATCTTCCGGCATCATATCTTTTTGCCTTTTGGTACTGTCCATGGGGTTTTCATGGCAAAGATACTGGAGTGGGTTGCCATTTCCTTCTCCAGTGGATCACCTTTTGTCAGAGCTCTCTGCTATGACCTGTCCGTCTTGGGTGACCCTGCACGGCATAGCTCATAGCTTCATTGAGCTACGCAAGCCCCTTCGCCACGGCAAGGCAGTGATCCATGAAGGAGATTATTACACTAGATCTTAAGAAAAGCCATGCTGGGTCAGATCCGAGGTCCATCTAGTCTAGCACTCTGTTCACATGGTGGCAAACCAGCTGCCCACAGGATCCCTCCAGCAGGATGATGGGTGCAAGGCCTCCTCCCTCCTAGCTCCTCAGCCGCTGGAGTATGCAGCCAGGCCACCTCTGGTGAAGGAGGGAGCACATGGCCAGCAAGGCTAGTAGCCACGGAGAGCCTCCCCCCTCATGAATATGTCCAGTTCCTGTTTAAAGCCACCTAGACTGGTGGCCATCGCCCCCTCCCATGACAGTGAATTCCTTAGTTTAACTCTACATTGTGTGAAGAAGGCCTTCCTTTCACCTGTCCAAAACCTCCCACTAGTCAGCTTCCTGGGATGCCCCAGGTTTGAGTGTTAAGGGAGAGAGAAAAATGACTCTCTTCACTTTTTCCACACCAAGCGTTATTTTAAACACCTCTGTCGTGTCTCCCCTCACCTGCTCTTTTCCTAAGCTGAAGAGCCCCGGCTGTTCTCGCATGGAAGATTTGTACTGGCAGTCCAGTTTCCTATTCCTCTCCTGCCTGGGCCTTGAGGTCATTGTCTGAGGTTCTTCTCAGAGAGCCCCCTCTAAAGGAAGCAAAGGGGCTGGCTACTGGGGGAATAGCCTCTTTGGTGGTGGCACCCGCTCTCCAAAGAGCTGCACTTGGCACCTACTCTTTACTCCTTTCAGCACCAGGTATAAACCTTATTTACCCAGTATTTTAACATTTACATTTTTTCTTATTTTTTACATTGCATTTTATCTTGTACTTCTGTTATACCTGATCTGATTGCAGCTGCTGTAGGCTTATTGTTTCCATTTTATTTGAAGCATTATATTTGTCTGATTTTATATGTTAACTGATTTAATATATTGTTGGATCTTGTCTTTCTTGTACATTTTCACAATGTGAATCGGCCAGAGAGCCTTTTTTTTTTTTTTTTTTTTGCTGATGGATGGTATAGAAATGATATAAATTATTTATTTATTTATTTATTTAAAACGTTTCAGTTCATAATAGAACAGTAAATAAATCTTCAGGGAGTTTTTCCTGATGTTCAGTGGGAATCCAGCTTCGTGCCACTGGCTGGACTGAGCACTGTGCTCTGCCACTCAACCTTTCCCCAGTTTGAGAAGGTGCCATGGTTAAACTCTCCTTCTGGTGATGCTTTCGATGGATGCTTTCCTATTTTGAATCAGTGTTCAGCAGATTCGTTGCATCTCTTTTACTGTGGAGGCTTAAAGTATTTTTACGTTTATATCCCATTCAATATCAGGGGTCTCAGGATGGCAATACAGTAAACAGCAACAGGTCTATTGTACAGGCATACAATAAAAGCCAATCATTAAAACAACATTAAACCTTAAAACATAATGAAAATAAAGTTTCGGCCTGCTGCCAAAATGAATAATGTGTCAGCACCCAGCACATCTCTCTTGGGAGCAGGTTCCAGACCTGGGGTGCCACCACAGAGAAGGCCCTTCTCTGGGTAGCCACTCTTTTGATCTCCTTCAAGGAGGGCTCCCGAAAAAGGACCTCAGACAAAGATCTTAGGGGTCAGGCAGCTGTATATGGAAGGAGATGCTCCTTCAGGTACTCAGGCCCTAAACCATTTAGGGCTTTATATATCATTGTTAGCACCTCGAATTGGGCCCAGACTTCAATTGGTGGCCACGGCAGACAGTACAAGACCCGTGTTATGCAAGCATATTTACCAGTCCTTGTAAAAAGCCTGGCTGCTCTGTTTTGGGCCAGCTGAAGTATCTGGGCCACCTTCAAGGGCAGCCCCACATGGAGTGCATTGCAGTTGTCCAATCAGGATCCCAAATGATAGTTTGCACATACCATAGTTTGGAAGTCTGTATACTTTTAGTGGCACAGATTGGTTCATTCTGGGAGTCCACTGAAGGAGCACAGTTCACTTCCATAATGAGAGCAGCCCAGATTCAGGTGTCTTAAGCAGGCAGTGGAATTCGGGTCCCACAAAGTGGGACCGAGCAAGCCACCCTGAGGTCACACACAGTAGCCCTTGCAAACAGCCGCAGGAAACCATACCTGTTACGTAATCTCCGAAGCCAATGGTGCTGAGGGTAATAAATGCAAAATAAATGGCTTCACTGTAAGTCCAGCCCTCTATCTCTTGAAAGATGAAGGATGGCACACACAGGAACACGAGTATTCCCATAAGCAGGAAGAACAAAAGAGTCAAGCATCGTGTGGTTTTCTGAAAGACAAAAATGGCAGGTTTGATGGCCCAGAGGCCCAAATTGCCTTGGCCTTATTTTTACCTCTTTGTTAGCCATGTTGCTGCTGCTGCTGCTGCTTCTTTTTTTTCTTTTTTCTTTTTTAACTTTCCCTTCCAGTGTGAGGAAAAATTAACTCCATCTCCATGCAGGCTGACTTAGTCTTTCTTGCCTTATGAGGGGAATGGGAGATCTGCAGATCCTTCCCAATTCACCCTGCTTCTGTTGTTTGTTCTATTCTATTGTTTACTAGCCTCTATTGTTTCCAGGCAGGTCTCCTTGGAAATGGCATCCTAAAGGTAAGGAGCCACCACCAAAAAGACTCTCTTTCTAGTCACTGCCTCCCACGTGGCAGAGGGCAGGAGCTTGCAGAGAAAGGCTTTAGGTGGCCATCTCAATGGACAGGGTGGACTGATGGAAGAGAAGGCAGTCCAGCAGGTATTTCAGTTGTATGCCAAGCAGAACTGTAAAGATTACCCATTTTGATGCTGTTTTTCCTGGTACAGAGCCAGGGAGGTGTGGTAGGTAGAGTGCTGGACTGGGGTCCTGCGAGATCCAGGTTCTGCTCTTCACTCGACCATGAAGCTCCCTGTGTGACTTTGGGCCAGTCACTTGCTCTCACAGGGTTGTTGCCAGGAAGCTACGTAAAAAGGACCGGAAGGGGACTGTGGTAGTTGCCTTATGGCTCCCCACAAGAGGAAACAAGGTGGGGTAAAAATGCAGGGCAATGATGCCATGATGCAAAAGCAGAATGCCAGTACAGTTAATTAATGTGGCTGCCACTTTGAATAGATTCTGGAAATATATGGGAAACCTGTCCAAATGTTTTATTACAGGTGTTGTTGATGCTACTCACTGTATTCCATCTTGTGCTGGCCTTGCTGTTTGAGCAATGCCACATTTGCAGTGAGGGGGACCTGCCTGCCTGCATTTACTTGCCAACACAGCCAGTCAAGTGTTTTTACAACTGGATCCAAATTTGGATTTAACCAAATTTGGGTGCAGTACATGGACTTGGTCAGATTTGATGGATACATCAAAACTGAAGTTCAGTCCAGACAAGACGGAGGTCCTGTTGGTTGGCGGATTGGGCTTTGGGGAGGGTGAATTGAACCTAGTCCTGAATGGGGTTGCACTCCCTCTTAGGGACAAGGTTCGCAGCTTGGGAGTGCTCCTCGATCCGGAGCTTTCACTAGAAGCTCAGGTGACAGCGGTGCCGAGGAGCGCTTTCTTTCAGCTTCGGCTGATCCATCAGCTGCACCCCTACCTGGAGTATGACTGCCTGGCGACAGTGACACACGCGTTAGTGACTTCCCGCCTTGACTTCTGTAACACGCTCTACATGGGGCTACCCTTGAAGACTGTCCGGATACTTCAATTGGAGCTACCAGGTTGCTGACGGGGACTGGGCGTTATGTTCATATGACTCCAGTCCTCTGTCAGCTTCAGTGGCTTCCCACTGAAGTCCGGGCCCAATTCAGGGTGTTGGTGATGACCTATAAAGCCCTTAATGGCTTGGGTCTGGTTACCTGAAGGAGCATTTACATCCATATATGCCCGCCCGCCCCCTGAGATCTGCGGGAGAGGCCCTTCTCCGGGAACCCTCCGTGAAGGAAATTAGGAGGGTGAGTACTTGGAGGCGGGCTTTCTCTGCGGTGGCGCCCAATCTATGGAATGTGCTCCCCAGAGAGGTCCGCCTGGCGCCGTCGTTATTTGTTTTTCGGTGCCAGACGAAGACCTTTTTATTCAAATGTCATTTTAACTGTTAATAGTATTTATTTATTTTATTCTTTGGACAGGCCGACTTATTTTATACTGTTAATTTATATTATTTTAATTGAAGTTATTTATGTTTGTGAGCCGCCCTGAGGCTTCGGCGAATGGGGCGGCATAGAAATTTTCTAAATAAATAAATAAAATACATCCTAGCTGCTACCCCCTGTAACTTCAGGATAGGGATGTTCTGTCGGTGATTCAAGGAGTTCTGCAAATGCATAGAAGCTCCAGTGTGACCAAGTCGCAGAGACTGCGTTGCAGCTGAATGACCACGTGTTGAGTCTTGTGGCTGGTGAAGAAACCAGGTTTATTTGGTCATCTGGAGATTGCGCCCGTGTAATTACCTTCTTCATTCCCTTCTGGTATAGCCACTTTGCAAACCTTTCACAAAGTGTTGAGAGGATTTTGCCAATGCGGTGCAGGAAGACAATGTTCAAGGGAATTCCAAAGAGAGCAAAGAAGACGCAAAAGATCTGACCAGCTGCTGTTTTGGGGGAGACGTTTCCATAGCCTGCCAAAAGAGGAAAGTATTTCAAAGCACGTCTCCATAACCTGGGATGTTGCTCGCCTTGTCCTGCAGGGCTCTAGACCTGAGTACCTTTGTGCTCTGAATATACGCCATCCTCTTACATTCAAGACTGGTTCCTAGTCACTTTGATCTTCTGCCTGAACGATCTCCCATCTGCTTATAAGCACATCCTTGGGATTTCCTCAGAACACCTCCTGAGGTAGCCATCTTAGCCTGTTGCCGCGAAAAGCCTGTGGCACCTTAAAGACCTACAAATTTATTCTGGCATATGCTTCTGCGCACTGTAGCCCACAATGTTGTCCAAGGTAGAGTAAAGGAACTTTAAAAACAAAGCAAATGGTTCTCAAAGTGTCTCTTGTAGCCTTCGTGGACATTGAATCAGAGATGCTGCAAAAAGCTTTATTTTTGACTGTTTACTCTTGACTGCTGTCAAAAGCCAAGCTGTCAAGAGACCCCAAAGCCATCATCTTTGCTTATAAAAAGGGGGTAGCCACTAAATCACTCTTTTCGTGATGAGGTTTTCTTTTTCAAGTTCTAGGCACTTTTCCACCCTTTTCTGAGATGCTGGGTGCTTAGGAAAGTGCAAACTATCCCCCTTCATAGAATTCGGGGGGGGGGGGGGAGTTGACTGGGACATGAGTGCAAATGAAGCCATTAAGAGGCGCTCCAGCAAAGAATGTTTGCCATTTTCTAGTACACACAATCAAGCTGGCCAACTAGGTTGTGTGTAAAATAAGCCCTACGTTGTCAAAGCGCTTTGCTGCCCACAAACAAGCTGCCCTGCAAGAAACAGTCCAGGTTCACACAATTGTGAGCCGCCCCGAGGCTTCAGCGAATGGGGCGGCATAGAAATGTTTTAATAAATAATAAAATAAATAAATCTGACAATGTAGCATGGCTAAGCCACTGAGAGAGGTTTGTCCTATCAAGGCCTTTACTATACCAGATGGATTTATTTGCTGACCGCCAGTGTCAATGTCAGTGGCGTGAGCCTGGGTGGACTCCGGGGGACGGTGGAGGACAAGAAGGCCTGGAGGAGTGTTGTCCATGGGGTCGCGATCTCACAACTAACAACAAGTGTCTGAATGTTTGTGTAGCAGCTGTGCTGACAACAGACACTAATTTTCTTTTGACCCCCATTCACAAATAGCTGCTACACTTGTACCAATGAGCCAGTGTTGTGTAGTGCAGTGCAGTGTAGTGTCGTGTAGAGGTTAGGAGTGAGGGGTGAGACCTGGCTTCCCACATGGCCATGAAGTTCACTTTGGGCCAGTCACTGATGCTTGGTCTAGACGACTGTGAGGCTAAAGTGGAAAAGGGCAAGATCAGATCAATCAGCTTGGGCTTTTTGGGTGGAAGGGAATCAATGCAAATGTCTGAAAACATGAACCTTTCAATAAATCTTCATGCATCTGATGGTGGGCTATAATCCATGGAAGTTTAGCAAGAAGAGATGCGTTTGGAGACTCCATTTCTCATGCTGGAGGATTCCCAGTACCCTGAAGATGCTGTCACAGTCTTCCCCAAAGGGATGTTCATCACTGAAATGAGCAAATGTCCTACATAGTTTCAGGGCTAAACAGTGTTGCTTTGGGCTCAAATCCCACAAAGATTGAACACGGCACTCCAGAATAATCAGACAACCAAGCAGAAAAAATACTATGGAACCGTTCCAAATATGACATTTGACAGAGCCAAGACAAAGAGTCACTGGGGACTGAGCAGGTTCAAAGGCTGTTTTATCAATGTGAGAACCAGACAAGGCCTGTTCATGGGTCTCTCATTTATGGCACTTACTTGGGGTCTTAGTGTAGTTTATTTTCTCTAGCATACCCCTTTGTTTTCTGTCGTCAGAACTACCCAGCCATGGGAAAGGGATGGATTCTCCTGCTCATCCCATGCATATGTGCAGAGAAGGTTTGCCTAGGGTAGAAAGATGCATGGTTATTATGCATTCGTCAAAGCATGGCTGCTGAACTATATTATGCAGCAGCTGCAGGTTTACCAGAGAGTAAGACCCACTTGAATGCATAAGATTGTCCTAAGAGTGTTGGACTGAAAGTTCTGCCTTGGCATCTGTTCAGATAAAGCTGAGCAAGGATTTAAATTTGAGTTTCTCTAGTCCTGCTTACTTCATAGAAAACTCTGTATATGCTTCTGGAAACTCCTTGGAGAATGAACCAAGAGCTTTCTTGAGAGATACTTCAAGTTCAGTGTGCAAATCTATTAAAAGTTTCTGGATGTGAGGATTTGGCATTCCTTATAAAAAGGAACATTTTAAAACCTAGACTGACAACATCTTTTATTTTCACTATCTGAGAAAATTGGGCAACTTGAGAATAAAGTAATGAGTTTTAATTCTGTTGTGAGAATAAATAAGAGTGAGACCTATCCTAGAACTTCTAGCAAAACTGGAGCATGCTGGGAGTTGTAAGCCTTTCTTCTAACTTGATATTATCTACTCTGGTTTTATGCTCTGTTCTCCATTTCCCTTTTCAGAAGGCAAAGCTGCTCCCTCCTTACATGAATTATAAGAGACACATTTGCAATCATTCCCTTTTAGCGGGGCAGAATTTGAACAAATATGCATTATCTTGTACTATTTTACAACAGCTGTGGGAATGATGTAGTGTTTGTTTGATCAAGGAAAAACATATCTGTTATCACGGTCACCAGCAATCCAAAAGACCTTTCTGTGGGCAGCAAAAGGGAGGGCAAGATGCGGGAGGCTGAGATGTGGACAGCTTCCTTGTTGACCATAGTCAAGGCTGAAGCTGCATGTGACACAATTTATCAGAGTATGCACTGATTTCTATTTTTATTTTCTGGGAGAAGCAGAAAGAGTTTACCTATTGTGGCTAACATAGAGCCCGCGAAGAAGAAAGAGTTACTGAAACCCCAGTTGCTGTGTCCATCAGGAGACTCGTTCCCTTTTGAATAGATCCCCGTCCTAACAGCTTCCATCAAATTCTGCAATTAAAGGCAACGTTCAGTTGACTGAATATTAACGATATTCCCCTGACTCAGATGCTCCCAACCAGCAGCTCCATCGTTTCCACCTAGCTTGGCCAGTGGGAAGCTGGAGAAGGCTGCAGGTTAGAGAAGGGTTTTGTTTGGTTTTTATTTACTCAGTTCACTTCTGTACCTCCCAATAGCCAAGCTCTCCGGTGCAGTTTTCTGGGGTTTCATCCCAGTGCCAACAGCCAAGGGCGTAGGACCAGAGGGCAGTGCCAAAATACCCCACCTAGCATATTTTAGCATAAAGCAGTTACTTCCCATAACTATTCCCTAGGAAAAGCATTAACATAGAAACAGTGCAAGTCAGAAGGGGTCTCCCGGGCCATCTAGTCTGACCTCCGGCACCAGCTGGCTCCGCTCACGACATGCCCACCGTGTGGACGTCCAGCCTATCCTTGAACACCCGCACCGATGGGGCCTCAACGACCTCCCGTGGAAGCCCATTCCACACCCTCGGGGTCCTGACTGTCAGGAAGTGATTAGAACAGGGGGAAAGCCATGCAGAAGTTAGGAAACCAGCAAATGATGGGAAAGGGGTGGAGCAGGAAGAGGGGAGGTGGTCCTTGTGGGGAACTCTGGAAGGCAGGACGAGGACTCCTGGTGGAGCGAGGTTCTGCACTGAGGTTCTCCAGTGCCCATCTCTGCAGGTCTACCTTAGATCTGGGTGGTTTGGGTGGCTTCATTATTGACTAGTGAGATGCAGATTTCCCAGGCCAAGAATCAGAACTAGAAAATTCAACCACCACCCAGACAAGGGGCGACATCCGTTCCATCCATGATGAAATGGTGACCTACCTCCAGAATGACCTTCACCTCAGCCGGGCTGAGGGAAGTGAAGTTCTTCAGGAAGTCCTCCTTCATCCTGAAGATGGCGCCACGGTGTGTCTGTTCAGCATCCTTCTCCAATACCTGGAAGACGAGTGCGCCCAGCAGGAGGTAAACAAGGTAACCGACTATCAGGAAGCCATTCTGCAGGCGGCTGTGGATCATGGCCGTCTGTGCAGGAATGTGAGCAAAAGTGGAAGAGGGTTGAGGCTGGCTGGTAAACAAGTCCTTATTTGTCATTTCCCCTGAGGCCGGGCTCACAGCGCAGGGCAGTCGGAGCAAGGCCGCTTCCCTTTCTTCTGGGATTTCACAGGGACATAATTAATTCTCACAGATGTTTGTAAGGAAGTTTCTTGAAATGACATCACCAGCTGGAGCATTATTTGCAATTCAGGGACTTCCCACATAGTGCAAAACTCTGTTTCACTGGCTTTATAGGAGAGTCAAGAAACAAGGCATCTTTAGACAGAGAAGAGTCCTACAATTTGCAACAGGACTGGCTGGGAAATGCTGCAAACGGCAGAGAACTTTTCTGTGTACACATGCATAGGATTGCACCCGATAAGGAAAATGTTCGCAGTTTATTCGGACCTACAGGGAATACATGCGTCATGTTGGCAGCCCCCAAGGGGACTACAAAGATGGAGTCTGTACAAGATGCTGTTATCAGTTAAATACACTTTTGGAGGCAGGTTGGGGAATCACTAGGCAGTTTGCTATAGGGACAGGCCAGTAAAACAATAGGGTTGAATGGGTTAAGGGCAACACAACACAAAAGGAAGAACCTCCAGGACAGGGAACTTAGCATTTCTAAGGTGTAGGGGGGAAGTAAAACTTGTAACATGGATTCCTGATCAGAACAGGGATCCCATCTTAAGTCTAAAACTGTTCTTGTCCGCATTATGGCAGAGCTTTTGCTCATTTTGTGCAGACACTCCGGGCATTTTGCTCCTGAAAGACTGCTTTCCCTCATGGGAGCCAGCCTGCCCAGTTCTTAAGGTCTTCGGGGGATAGGGTAGCACTTTTCAAGAACCTGAAGGCTGTCCCACAGAGGACACCCAGGATCTCTTGTTGGTTGACCTCAGAATACCAGAAGCCAGATTCGGGATGGTTATCAGGAAACTCTTGATGATTCCTAGACCAGTACGGCAATGGACCCAACGATCTGGGAAGTTGGGGGCTCTCCCACGCTGGGGGCATTCAGGAGGCGGTTGGACAGGCAGTTGGATGCCTTGACCTGGAGCCCTACCTTGAGCAGTGCTGTGGACTCCATGGCCGTGTGGGTCCCTTCCAGCTCTACTCTTCTACGATTCTCTCGTTCTGCCCCACTCATCCTGACCGTCTCCTTTGCTGCCTGAATCCCTGCTCTCCAACTTTCTGTGCCTACAGAGAAACTTGGCAGCCCTCTTTGACTGTGTGACTGTTTGATAGGGGCAGTGTATGTACCCCAGGGTCTCTATGAGGTCATGGGGGCATTGCCCCTGGGGTGGGCCTGCTTGCTTGTCCAGCTGGGCCTCTGTGAGATCACCTCTGTGTACCAGCTGGGCTGCTTACAACCTCTAGGTGTGAGCAAGTAACAGGATGAAATCCCAGAATCTTGTAAGAAAAGCATTGGAATATTTCCTTGCTTCTGCCCTAGAATAGGCCCTATCGATGAGACACCGCCCCCCCCTTTTCATCTTCTGCAAGTGATGCAGCCAGGTTTGGGCCTTGGGGAAGAAGTTTAAGACCCCACAGCCCAAAGAGCCTCGAAATGAAAATCCAGAAGGCGGTGGTGATGGGGCAGTGGCAGATTCTGGCTTGGCACAGGCACACCGAGGCTGAGAAAAAAACCATGCCGTATTCTTTGTTCCTCTTTACTGAAAAAAACTAATTTGGGTGACCAAGTGAGCACGGCCATGGCTGTGCTATCTTTCTTTTAATAATTATGGCCTTTTCCCGAAGGAAACGGCTTCTTCCGAATTAAAAGCATTTCATGTCAGGACAGCAGAGAGAGAGACTCCATTTTTTCTGGCGGTCACATTCATGCTGGGGTTTCAAGTGAGCTTAAAATGAGAAGCCGCAGGTGCTTGAGAGCCTTTGCTGCTTTTTCCTCAGAGCCGCGGAACAGTTTCGAGCTTGTTGCTCGGCTGCAGTGCAGCAAGAGCAGAGCAGCAGCATGGAAGGAGCGCACCGCACCGGGGTGGGGAGGAAGAGGAAGATGAGTGGTGTGTTTCACACCCAGAGTTGTGCCTGTGGCTATGCCCAGCCCCCACCTAACTGGAATGAGTTGGGGCCTAAAACGGCCAAGCTACGCCACTGCTTAGCAAGGGGTTTTGAATCGTATATTGTGGCATCAGGCAACCTGGGACGCTTACCTGGACAGGGTGTCTCACTGGGGCCCATCTAAGGAGCATCCAGGAGAAACGCCATCCCCGTGTGGCTGGCCAGCCTTTTCTTTCAGTCTGGTTTGCTTGATCACAAGCCTTCAAGACCCCCCCCCCCGCCCGCCTCCATAAAAGCAACCTCAGTGGGACCAAGCAAGATGTAAAGGTCAAAGCGGACCTTGCAATATTTGCAAAGAGCGGCCCAAAGGTGCAGTCTGCTCAGCTGCACAGCCTCCAAATTCAGGGCCTTGGAGGTGTCTTCTGCAGAGCCGAGGAAGCAACGGAAGCGATTCCCGACCCCCCCCCCCCCCCGTGCCCTCCAAGCAGCCAGGTGGCCGGCTTCAGCGTGGAGCTGCAGTGCTTCAGCCAGAGAGGGGAAGGGGCCGGAGCACCGCCAGGGGCCTGCGTTCTGGCAGCCCCACCCTCCCCCATTCCCTGTGCCCCGAGCTCTCCCCTTACCTCTTCCTCGAGATCACTTTTTGGAATGCATAGGTAACATTGTCTGCATTGACATTGCATGGCCCTGTGTAATAACCAGAGTGGGAGGGAAAGGCTAGAATGCCATCAATGAGGCTGACCTCTCTGCTTGATCTGTGTCTTTCCTGCCCCTTTTCTCATCCCACCTCACCCGGAAAGGCAAAAGGGTCACCTGAACAGTTTCCCCCTCCCCTCCCCTTTCTCTTACCTGAACAAAAGAACCAGTCACTATTCTCATATAACACCGGTGCTCTATCAGCTTCATTGGCTCCCCATTGAAGTCCAGGCCCAATTTAAGGTGCTGGTATTGACCTATAAAGCCCTAAATGGCTTGGGACCAGGATACCTGAAGGACTGTTCCCCCCCCCCCCAATATGCCCTCCCATGCCTTAAGATCTGCAGCAGAGGCCTGTTCCAGGAACCCTCCTTGAAGGAGGTTAGGAGAGAGAACACCTGGAGGAGGGCCTTCTCTGCGGTGGCACCCCAGCTGTGGAATGCGCTCCCCAGAGAGGTTTGCCTGGCACTGACATTCTATTGCTTTTCGGCACCAGGTCAAGACCTTTTTATTTACCCGACATTTTAAAGTTTAAATATTTTAATTTTGTTTTTATCCTCAGTCGTGTGTTACCATGATGTATTTATTGGGTGTTTTATATTGTAAGCCATCCAGAGTCGGACCGTAATGGATGGGATAGAAATTCCCTAATAAACAAACAAACAAACAAACCCTATTTCTTCTCTGCCAGGCTAATCAGGTAACAGCGGACCTTCCTTTTCAACCGCAATATCCTGCGTAAAGATACCAACATCTCTCCTTCATGCAAGTTGCATATGGATTGTTTGTGAGTGAACCAACCTTTTCCCTCTCAGTGTATAGCACCTTCCACTGCAGATTCTAACAGATCCAGCACAAGCAACAGCACATAATAAACACCTGCACATAACCAAGTATGGAACAGGTTCCCAACAGGTTTCATGATTTCAGCCATCACGGTTCTTTCCCTGTCAGGTGCAAGAGGCTGGAGCAGGATCTGTGCTCGGGTCCTCGGCTCCAAGGCCAGAGCTCTGTTTCTGACCTTGGATTTCAGAGTCCTGGGACTGTAGGATCGCTCTGTGAGAAAGTGGGACCTGCCCTGGTCGCCAGTCTCTTTCCCGGCTTGAGTCCACCTTCGGTCTCGGCTTTAAAGCTCCAGGAGACTCAGCACTGCACCTAGAATGTGTGAAGTGCTGCGTCTGGATCAGGCCGTGGGTCCATCGATCCAGCCTTCCAGTCACACAGTCATCCACAGAAGACCGGCAAGCAGTACAGCACTCCCCCACCCATGTTCCCCAGCAACCGGTGTAGCTATTTAAGCAGCTGTCCACCTCACTGTACCCCTACAAACCTGTCCAAGCAGGTAAGCAAGATCGGAAAGAGAGGCCCTACGGAGGACGCCACAAGCTGCAGAGGCTTGCTCACGGGGAATGTCTGAAGCGGCTTTTCCCTGTGTTGCGCCCGCACTATGGGATGCAACCCTCAGATCCATTATTGTCGCCCACCGGCAGAGTTCAGCAAGGGCGTCAAAGATGCATCTCTCCAATCCAACCTTTTACAGCAGGTCGTTTTGGATGCTTCCACATTCTGCATTCTTGCAGGCGTTTGTTGTTTCCCCATTTATACAGTGCCTTATGAGAGCAGATAAATGTTAACAGAGAGATAAATACATGAACTCGTGTGCAGAACTGCCGTCCTCAAAGGGCAGGGCTCCTTGTCCTGCACTGTTGTATTCTACACTGGGGATGCAAGTCTTGCAGCTAAATTCAGACCAGCTGGGATCCCAGCCCGGCCTCCTAAAATATCATCCTTCCCCAAGACACTCCTGCAGGGCCCCAACGAGCACTCCTGTTGTGGTTTTCCAGCGTTTGCACAGCTTCCAACCACCGGCAGCAGCTCATTCCAAATGGTGGGAATGTCCCTACAGATCAATTGTTGATGGTGGAGGGGCAGCTTTTGGTGAAAATACGTGGGTAATTTTGGCCCCAGCCCCTTGCCTTTAGCCCTGCCTAATTGCCTGTGGAATTCAGAATGCGATAGGGATTCGGCACCCCTGCTCAGCACCCTGATTTGCTAGGGTGCAGGGGTTTAATTTGTGGCCTCCCAGATGCTTCAGGTATCACTCACATCAGCCTTACCTGGTGGAGACAAAAGAGACAGATGCTGGAAGCTGTATGCCAAAAACTCTGGCAGGCCACACAGTACTGGGAAGTGCATTCATCTACTTTTCAGAGAAATCAATCGATAAATAGCAAATAAAACTGTATTCCAGCCTTTCCTGCTCTCAT